AAAGAGCGCTTAGGATCTCTTCCCCGAAGATCGCCGACTAATCCCGCTCTATTAAACTCGGCTGGTACATTCCGAATTATGTTATCGCTAGTGGGATACTCTGACATTAAAATGTTATCGGCATTTTCTCTGAGTTTGAATATTTGATCTTTCATTGTAATAGAAAAAAAAAAAAAACTCAATGAGTTTTACTCGTTGCTGGAAATCATACGTAGCCATTTTAATCTCCAAGGCTGCTCTATAACCTGCAAAAAAAAAAAAAAATGCTTGAAAACGAACAACTTTATTTAAACCCCTTCAGTTTTTCAGCGGCTACCCTATATTAATCACGGGAGATTCGTAGTTCATGACATTTTCACTTCATCTGTGTTTAAGTAAAAAAGTACGATGCATTTTGAAGATAGTTCCCTTAAGTAAATTTTAAAACAAATAATCATATAAATAAAAGACAGAGTTAAAATTCTTCTTTAAGTGCCGTGTCCCCTCAGGACGTAGGCGATCATGTCTCTCCACAACTTCCCACCCTTTGTCTTTTAGTTATCTCTCCTAAACCCTGTTCCGCCATCAATTTACTTAATCTCCCTAAGTATGTTATCTATCCTGTGAGTATCAGATTTTCCAAACCCTCCTTCCTCGCTATATGCCACAGAAATTTCAACTGTCTCTTCCTGATGTTAAGTATAAATTTCCTTTTTGTTTGCATTTTTCTCTAAAACTTCATCGTTGCTCAAATGTTCGATCGATGTTATTCTCAGCATCCTTCTGTAGAACAGCATTTCTGTTACTTCAAGTCTCTTCTTCATCTTTGAGGGAATTGTCTCGCATTTAACAACATATAGGTGAAAAGATATCACGTAACAGTTCAGTGTATTCTTTGTTTTTCTCTGTCTCTTAATACTCTGGTTAGCTTTTGGAATGCATCTTTCGCTTTTCCAATTCATCTTCGGATTTCGGTGTCGCACTTTCTGTCCACTTCTCTGATATTTAAATATTTGTAATTGTTTGATTTTGGTATCCCCAATATGTAATTTGCTTTTTGGGCTGTCCCTTTTGCTAACAACCATGTGTCTTCTTATAGTTGATGTTTAATCCTCGATTTCCTTCACTACCTTTTATAAGAGTTTTTGTAGTTTCTTTCTATGTCTGCTATCAACACAGTGTCATCTGCATATCTTATGTTGTTAAGGTTGTTGCCACCAATAATTTAATTAAAAGAACAAAAAAACAATATAGTTAAAATAAAAAAAAATCCAACATTCATATAACAAAAGTTTGTTTGTTTGTTTAACGACATATCAACTCCTTATGGGTCCCTTAATGTCTAAATTTAATTTTCTTGAGAGCATTAGCAATTACATTTACAAATATGTATTGCTGGTAATTTCTTTTTAAAAAATGTTATTTAGTAATATTTTTTCTAAAAATGCATTGCTGGTAATACTATGAAAATTTATTACTGGTATTTTTACTATAAAAATATATATGCTACCATCCAGGGTTAGGTAGGACCTTGGAATAACAGCAATTAAAAGGTGGATCCACTCTCCTCAAAACCTCTCGATCATAGCCCATGCTGCCGGATGTAGTTCATCGTCATACCCAGGGCGGATCTCGATAATATAGGATTGATTGAAATAAAATCCATTTTTCTGAGGTTTGATCAGCGAACTATTTCAAAATAAATTTTCTTTGTTATTTACTAATAATCATTTGTGTGATGAATTATGTTGTCGCCATTTGCAACATTTTCGCGTGCAGAAGAAACAATTGATTTTGGAAGCCCCTCACAAATATCGTATTGTGTTGAGATGTCGACTGAAAATATTCGAGAATCGCTGAATGCGATCTGTAGCCATGGCATTCATAAAGCATACAGCACGGGAAGTATTTCCAATTTCCATTTTAGGAAAAACTAAAAGAAACAGAAATCTTTTAAAAAATATTGACGACTGAAGTACGAAAAGATGACAAGAATGTGAAGGAATTACTTTACAGTCTTCAATAAATAACGGAACCAAATGAATGAAAACAATATCTATCTATCTATCTATCTATCTATCTATCTATCTATCTATCTATCTATCTATCTATCTATCTATCTCGGTTTAATCTATCTATCTATCTATCTATCTATCTATCTATCTATCTATCTATCTATCTATCTATCTATCTATCTATGTTCATATCTATCTGTCTCAGTCTTCAGGCCATTTACATTCACTATCCTTGATATTTACCACTTTTTACCCATGAATATAGAATACCACCAAACTATATTTATATCACACCAACACCCACACTCATATATATATATATATATATATATATATATATATATATATATATATGTATAGGAATCTAAATGAAATAATAATAATAAAAACGAAAGAATATTAATCTACAACCCAGTGTGTCTGAAGATTTTAATTTTTAATATTTTTTATTGTTCAATATATATATATATATATATATATATATATATATATATATATATGCACGTTTAGTATCCGTAAAGGATTACATAATTTATGTATAGATTGGCAATTATGACGTGTATAAGATGATGCTTTCATGTTGCCAACAATGATCAAATGCACATTACTAAGCCTGCGTAATTAAAGAAATAATAATATGTAAAAAAAGGATAGTCATTGGGCCAATTAACTTTTATAATTAACTTAATTTGAGCATAAATTTCTGCTTGAATGTTCATGACTAATTTTAAAGTGTATATATATATATATATATATATATATATATCAGAAGGCAGAAAAAAACAAAAAAACGCTAAAACACAATCTGTTATCGGGCGTGGAAGAATTACAAACAGAAACATAAATAATGCGATGGAAGAGGTAAGAGTAATTAGCAGGAGAGAAGATAATTACTGAAATTGCTTTTAATTTTTACAGATCAAACTTGGCTGAAAATCATGGAGCCGGAAGTATAGAAGTGCAAGACCTGAAACTGGTTTGCATAGGATTTACGCTTGCATCTAGCCAGTTCAACTGTAAATTATTGAGATCTCGACACAAGTCTAGTACTGCGCTTAAGCATAAAAGCTAGCCTCCATGTGTGTGACTCATTGGGCCTTCTCGGGCTAACGTTTTCCGCTGGCATGAAGTGGAAAGATTATATTGAATCAATTATTGGGTCTGCTGCTAGGAAAGTTAGTTTACTGTGTTGTTCTAAACAATTTTTTCTCGTCAGAATCTCGCTTACAAATTTATAAGTCGCCCATCCGTCCATGCATTGAATATTGTTGTCACATCTGGTCAGATGCTTCTGCTATATATTTAGAGATTATTGGTAATTTTTAAGGAAGAATCTGCAATGTTATCCGTTCTGACCTGGCATCTAGTCTTCAGTCGCTTTTCCGCCACCGTAATGTAACTTCCTTGTGCAGTTTTTATGAATATTTTCATGGTACTTGTTCTGATGAGATTTTTTCTTTGGTACCTCGACTTTACGAATTTAAGCGCAGTACTAGATTGGCAGCTAGGTCTCATCATTTTACAGATGAAACTGCGAGATGTAACATTTTGTTCTATTTTGCTTCTCGGCTGCAGAATTCTCTTCTGGTCACTTTCTTTCCAGTGAGCTTTAATATTCAAAAATTTAAATGCATTGTCAATCGTTATCTTTTATCTTCTTAATTAGAGTTTTTTTTTAAAAGTCCTCTATCCTTGGTAATGTTTTCTTATTCCATATTCTTTTTTACATTCAGTAAGCTTTTGCGTCTTAGCGTCATTATTGCCTTGCTTCGGGTGAAATTATTTACAAAAATACAATATAATTGTATAAATACAATTAACACATAAACTTAGTCAAATATATATATATATATATATATATATATATATATATATATATATATATATATATAGATATATATGTGTATATATAAATAAAAAGAAAGAACAGTAAGATATATAATCCAGTGTTCTTATAGATATTTTTATTTTTACAAAATAGTGCTCAATGTAAATTTACAGAGCATCAATATTATAAATTAATTGATTTAAAATATAGTTTTTTCCGCTACAGAGTTCTAACCATGTTTCAAAAATGGAAGCTAAAAGCCCCGAATTTAATTTTGTAATTAAATTAAAGACATTAGTTCCATTTCCTCCTCAAGCGAATTTTGGAGTAACTTTTAAAATTACTGGGTTTTAAAGACACAGCTAAAATCATAATTCATATTTTAAATCAATTAATTTATAATATATATATATATATATATATATATATATAAACAGTAAATTCCATTATTGTATTATTTGTATATGTAAATGTGTAGCCGTCGTATTGCGGAAGTGCATACGAAGCCTAACTGTTGTCAGTATGAGAAAACTGATCCCCCGAAACATTTCGAGTTTAACAATAATATTCTTGGAAGAGGCGTGAACTTACCTCTCCCTGCGTTCTGTCCAATTACAAGATACCATAATAAAATATCTCATTCGTCAGCCTTAATTTTTGAATCTGAAGTGTGTTGTTGAGTGAACACTTTTCTGTGAATAACTTAGATGGACCCATGAAACTCCCATGGTGCTGATTACCAAATTTTCCTTAAGTATAAGTTTTCAGTACTTCTGCTACGTTCATGCAAATGTTTATGATTGATTGACATTTTTACGGCTTATCAACCCTTGAATAAAAAATAAATTGTTTTCACGCTTCAAGAAGTAGAATTTCGACCTCACTGATTGTCCGCGTCTCGGCCGACCTGTTCAGTTCAATGAGCTCTCATCCACGAGGATTTGTGTCAATTCACTAAGAAATTGGACCAGCAGATGGTATGCTCTCATGATACCGTGAGCAGTCAGCTTCACTTAATGGGTGAGCTCCAGAAAGGGCCTCAAACATCTGCCCTAGTAATAAACTATTGTATTGATAATTAAATACATGTTTTGTAAAAAACAATTTTTCACTCTTAGAATATATATTGTTAATGGTCCATAATCATAGTCTATGAACACAATCACATTATTAGGCAACGGCCAAATCACGTTAAAACATCAGTTCCCGTACGATCACCGAAGTTAAGCAACGTATAGCCTGATCAATAACTAGATGGGTGAACGCTGGCGGATACCAGGTGTTGTAAGCTTGGATTTGCGGCCAGTGTAATGGATAACGGCTTGGAATTGTTAATCGGAGAGCCGAGTTTCAATCCCAGATTATGAATCTACCTTTGCTCCCCCTAGCTATTGGTTAATTAGTAAGAGTTGTCTCACTAAATCGTTATTATATCTCCCAAAAATTCTTACAATCTAGAAATATTTTCTGGCTACAAATAACCTTTAAAGTGTTGATAAACCGTAAAAAAAGCAAATCAAGCGAAGCTCATTTTTTTTTTTTTACATTGAACCTGGGTCAGCATAAATGCAATAAAGGATATTTCTTAACATTCGATCTGGTTGGGGGAAATTGCCCCGAACAGAAAGGAAAATTTCAGCAAGTTCATTTCTAATTTTACAACAGATATCAAACGACTTATGCGTGAACAAGAAAATCGCACTGAAAAATACTTAACAGACATTCCTTATCAATTTTTTTTTTAACAAAACATGTTTACTTGAAGGACAGATATATATATATGTATGCATATATATATATATATATATATATATATATATGTATATGTATATATGTATATATATATATATATATATATATATATATATATATATATATATATATATATATATATATATATATATATATATATATATATATATATATATATATATATATATATATATATATATATATATATATATATATATATTGGCATATATAAATATCTATTGAGCTTATGCATGGTTACTATAAAATATATATATTCTGTTTATACGGTTTTTATGGATATCACTTATTTGAGTAAAAGCTCAGTTTTTTAACTAAACACAAAATTTACCCCCACAAAAAATAATTTTACATTTATCGGGCTGAATGTTTGAGAAATTTCGTAAAAAATATGCGTTTCCCGACAGGGGTCGAACTTGTATCCTATACAGAACCGTCATGCAGCCTGATGTGCTATGGACGTTCAGCCACAGAGAGGAATGGCCTTCACTTCCAGGTGATGATTTTTTTTAATTGTTTTTTTTAAAGCGATGATTAGAATTTTAATAAAGCCTAAACATATGAAATGAATTTATACTTTTTCTTTATTGTTTTGAATTAACGACAAAAATAATAAACATTACTTATTTGCTAGATTTTTTTTAATTTACACTATTTATCATATTGTTTAAAAGAAACAGTACAAAACGAAACATCCGGTATCTTATGAAGTTGATATACACACAATAATAGTCAATATTTACGAGGGAAAGATGTGGCACAAGGCCGAGTTTTGCGTGGGTTTTCCGAGCCTGTAGGCTCGGCCAAAAAATGCCCGTAGAAACTGTAAAAACAGAATCGGGTTGGTCAACCTCCCCGAACGAGACCCTGCCCTTTGGCAGAGTGTCGTCCGGGTTCCTCTCTGCCCGAAGGCAGAGAGTTCGACCGTCTTGCTGGAACAGATTCCAGCAACTCTCACACAATAATAGTCGTCGTCACAAATGACACTCTCCCCAGTCTATCGTAAGTCCAGCCTATATAGTGGTATGGTTATGCTAATTACTATTATTAGTCCAACCAATCCCATTACACGGTAGTTGATAAGCGATTCGGACTTTATAAAATAAGAATTTCCTTTATAGCTGGTTAACATATTTTAATAATTTAGTAAATGTTTATAAATTTATGAATAAATAATTGTTTTTATATTTATTTCTTTATAAATTGGTAAATGATAAATACTGCATTACATTAGTTTTAATACAATTGTATTAGTTTTAGAATGTCAATATAAAATTATTTTTTGTAAGTAAACAATCTAATAAATAATTAGTATTAAATATTTTTGTGGTAAATTTTTAACAGCAAAAACAAAATGTATAAAGTAACTTTCGTTTTGTGTTTAAATTTTATTACAATTCTAATTATCGCTTTTAAAAACAAAAACAAATATTGCTGAGGAATGACGGTACTTAAAATAATAGCGGTTCTTTTGGCAAAACTTTTTTCTGTGGACACAATGTTTAAAGATTATCAATTTTCCATGCATTAGTATGATTCAACCAGGGTCACTGCTGCATTACACCAGGTTTCTCTTATCTTGCATAAAAATTAATTATCCAATGGACATCGTTATGTTGGATTTATTTATATTAAAACAATAGTCGAATGTAAAGGAAACGTTTTAATTTCGATTTAACTCTGTTAAAAGATTGACTTTTATTAATATCACTTTATTATGCTATTAGGTGCATTCGATTACACTACAGTCTCCTATAATATATATTGATTTTTTCGCCCCACAAAAGAATACCAATTAGTTTTTTAATTTTACAATGAAAATAAACGACAGTTATGGTTTAATACGGTTTATGTATTTATTTAATTGAAGTAGGAACCTGAAAAAAATTCTAGAAACGGCTTAGTAGAAATTTACTGATCAATTCTCAGCTCCATATAACTTGATTAGAGTCTCATTGAACTTTGCGTAAATCGCGTTCTATTTAATAATCTTCATGGCCGGAGCTCGTTTCAGAGTCCATTTTCATATCAAATAATCGCTGAAATCGATTTTTATTTAGCTGAGCATCAAACAACAAGCCATTGTAACATATAAATCGACTTATTTTCCATATAACGGCCTTCAGTCTGTTGTTAGCTGGGGCAAAAGATGGCTTGTTAATTTTTACTGCCTCCATAACTAAACAGCTGCCTATTAATCATCTGGGAGACCCCCTCTCTGACTTCCATTAGCATGGCTGATGCTAACCTCCAGGAGAGTGACTTTTTGCGCCTTCTCGGGCTAACATTCTCAGCAGACATGAAGTGGAAAGGCTATATTGAACCCATTGATTTCAGATTTAGCCCCATCTAAGCTACGCTTAGACAATCACTAGCAGCATGGCCCGGCGTTGCCCGTGCTTGATTCAAAAATCGTACGACTCATACAGCAATCGCTATCACTTGACTTCAAATATTTTTGCCCTCCCTTGCCTTTAAAAGTGTGTCTTTTGCCGTGCTGATGTTGCTACATGCCTTACTTCTTGCCTATCTCACACTGCGAATTTTTCTAAGCTCTATACTAAACATTAACTCTGTTACGAGAAAAAGAACTAAACAAAATGAACACAAAACGATCAGCTTTAAAAAAGGACTCGTAACTGGAAAAACCGAATGAAAAAAGAATGTTAACAACAAATACTTTCTCACACCCAACCCAGTTCTGCGGAATCAGAATCAACGTTGAGTTTAAGCAAGCGAATGAGCCAATTGGAGTAAAGTGCCATGCAGATTTAAATTTTTGCCACTTGTGGCGAATGCAGCTATCGATTTTTTTTGCATGCTAGCATGCTAGTTAACATTTGTGTCAGTCAGCTGATGGCTCTCACGCTGGCCAATAGAATCTTCCTGCCTATTCGTGGCAGCCAACTATAGGCTCTCACTCTGGCCAGTAGAAAATGGCCGAAAACTACATGAAAACTGCTGTAGAAGCATGAAAAAATCGATTATTTCTACTATCGATGGGAGTTGGGAAATGCAAAGTCGGTCTTGGCCTTCCCACTAACTTGGAACATGTGCATGTTAATTTAATACTGGTTTGTACGAATTCAAAAGGAACTTTTTAGTGTGTATGTATCGTGTCATTATTTTTTGGGGGTGGGGGTCTGGAATTGTTATTATTGTTAACTTTTTCCTCCTTGCAGAGTTTTCATAAGGCTGTAAATTTTTTACTTTTTTTAAAAAAATATTTTCCAGATTACAATCTGTTGAAACTTGACTAATGCATGGAATAATAATGCAACACAAAATGTACTTAGAACAAAATGTATTGAAACAAGAACGTGTACACAATATTTACATATAGTCTTTTGTATATTCCTGGGAAGACCGTTCTTGGAGAATATGTTGACTTAGTCGCAGTCGGGCAGAGTCTCTGGATTGAATCTCTTGATTCCTCCTTCTCTTCCCGGTACCAACCATATTTATATGGTCGGTACTCCACTGCGCAAATTAGGTGGATCCTACCACAACACAATCGGATCTTTGTTATTTTTGTCTTTTTAATTAAAAACGTAACATTAAATTAAAAAAATAGTATTTTATTTATGGTGCAAATCCGTCGAAAATTGCGGCCGTGCATTCCCACACACACACACACACACACACACACACACACACACACACACACACACACACACACACACACACACACACACAGACATGCTGTCTTTTATAGATAGAGATTTCGGGCACTTCGACTTCGATGTAATGATTAACAAGTTTATTTCGCTAGATGAATTACGACTGACTAGTGAGTTTGATCCTCGCTAGGTGCCCCTATACTTCCGGCCTTGTACGACATTGTTGTAGCATACCTACGGACGATAATGGGTATGTCCTCTTTCACATAAATACAGTAGTAGGTACTGTATGTTGGTCTGCAGTTGGAGATTCAGTGTGGAATTCACTTGATTCCCTTCTAGCAGTTGACTACTTCTCCGCACCGCTGGCGAATCTTATATCTGTTGTTCGTGTTCTAAATATTATCGTTCCTTACCAACCATCGTGTGATTATTTTATTCACAAGGTTACAACCCACATCTAAGCTAAATTTAGAAAATCCCAATACTTTTAACTGAATGTATGGATTGTTTTATGTATGTATCAGTAATTATAAGAATGGTTTATTTTCCCAAATAAAATAGGAATATATTACATTTCCAACACGGTCATCACAATGTGTAAATAAAACATTCCTATAACTCTAAATACATACATTCAGATAAAAGTAGAATATAAAATCCATCTTTGATGATAGCTAAAAGTATAACCTAAAGCGCTCGAACATACAAAACATCTGGACAATTTTGATATAATTAACGTCCAGAAAAGAAAAAAATTATAAGATCACATGAAAAAGTAAATAAAATACTATTTTTTTAAATTTAATTTTACGTTTCTAATTAAAAAGAGAAAATGACAAAGATCCGATTGTAATCTGGAAAATATTTAAAAAAAATGCTAAACCTTACAGCAATAT